TAAGAGTTATATATCGTGAGCAGAATTTAAAGAAACGACCTCATATAGAAAAAATTAAAAGTTATACGAGTATCACATCACTGTCGAGAGGTGTGTGAAGCATTGATTGCACAAGCTAACTATTGATGAGTGTTAATTCATCACATGTACAATTTATATAAACAGCACAATTATATGATCAATTTAATCAATTCAATTAATATAATAATTGATTTAATCAATATATTTCATTCATTTAATTTATTTCTTTATTTTTAAATTTTCAATCTTGAAATTTATTTATATCATTTTTTTACTGCATTTTTCTCTCTTTCTTCTTTTTCAACATCTTCTCTGCACTACAGTCGCAAATATATATTATATAATTGAATAATAATATTTTAAATATGATTTCTCTTTCATTTATTTATTTTTATCTCTCACTTGTTTTTTCCTGCTTGTATGAGTACTCAATATTTTTCAATATATTTTTTTTATCATATTTTTTTTATTTTCTTTCTCTACTTCATTTTTTCTGTTTTTTTTATTTATTTTTTTATTTTTTATTTATTTTTTTTTTTTTATTAAAAGAGTATATAATTTTTCAATAAGCAGAGAAATCAATGTCTTTTTATTCTCTTTACAAACAAACACAGCAACAGTGATTTTTCAAAAAAAAGTTATATTATAATTTTATTATAAATAATTATATATCAAATCAGAAATGAATGAATAATCAATTTGAATTGAGTTTTTTCAAAAATCATTTAAATTCTGTTTTCTCTTCTTGTGTATATAAAAATCTCTTCAATATAGCATATTTTTATATTCTTCAAAAGATTTTTAAAGCAAGATACTGTTTGTGTCTTCTCTGAGATGTTAAATCTATACATATATATATACATCTAACATTTTTCCACTCTGTACTTCATTATAATGTGATCTTCAATATTCTTTCATTTCATTCTTTTTTCTATAAAAATCTCTTTATATGATCCTTTCTTCTGATCTTTTTTCTCTTTCTTTCTTTTCTTAATTACAAGCAAAACCCCGAACGAGCCCAATTCTTCGAATTAGACAACGCGAGTACCCTCAATCGATTCCTGCTGCCTTCATAAGTAACTGCTGCAAATTTGAAAAGATTTGATGAAGTTTTGACGGAGATATTTGATGAATAGTGTTTTGGCATCCGCTGGGGCGGATTTTCAACGTTTCATCAAATTACTCCATCAATACTGGGTCAAATCAACTCAGATTTTGACCAGAGATAGATCTATCTTATATTGATAATTTATTAAAATCTTGTTCATTTTGATCTGCAGTTGCTTGAGTTATTCTTGTTTCTCTGTTTGAGAAAACTCTGATCGATTTTCGTGTTCCAACGTATCCGTGCCAAGTCCCCCCTGAGTACCTCCCAGCC